GAGTGGTAGTGGAAAGAAACCAGGCTCAAGCGCGATTGCAGCACACTTTTCCGAAACCTGTCACATCATAGACAAGGAGCAAGCCTTCACCATCATATACCGGGTACCTCTGAACGGACCACGACTGGTACGATCCAAACTACTATCGATCGCAGAGGCGATAGGAATCCGACTGCTGGATCCACAACTTTGCATCCAAAAGAAACTTGTGCGACCTCTGAACTTGAACTGGCCTACGAAACATCTGGTCCCACAAGTCTGTCTGACATTGATGTCATGACCCATTGACCTACCCCTCACCCAACCCCCTTCCTTTGACTTCTATTTCTCTAAAGTGTAGCCCCGATCTTAACCTTTTCCACGTGATTTCTGCTACCATATAAATTTGTGATGTATTAGCCAAGATGAACAATCACAGAAAACAAGCTTTGTTCGCTACCTTCTTCGTTCTCATGACTACAATGGGTATATTCAGTCGCCATTCTCTAATATTCTATTGCATCGCTGTCAGCTTGTTCAAAAACCGCAATCTCACATGAAAAGTTGGGCCTTTCGTGATTTATACAATTATTATTCATTTTCGCAGAAAAAATTACCCAGAAATTTTGAAAGCGTATATCTGTCCCGCTTTCCCTTTCAATCTTATCTGGGAGATTATTAGGTAAAAGTGGTCTCTCATGTTCCATCAGCCTTTTACTATGCTTGAATAATTAATGGTACTGACAAAGTTAAGTTACCTGAAAATTATATAGGTGTTTACGAGAGTCCCAAATGAAACTCTTGTTTATGCTAACTAGGAACTGAATGCAACGCGTAGTATCCACCATGTGTCTTGGTTGACATGATACTTGCTATATATATTCTCGACACTTCTGGTGAGAAAGAACATCATGAAATATCAATTTATTCGAGCCTCTAATTGATATCAATATAATCATTTTTTTAATATCTCCAGTTATTCGGCACTGTGCTTCATCGAGTGGAGTTCTTTTTAAATTCAGGTGGGCATTGAAGTAAAGCTGTCACTATTTTGTATTCATTTTACCAAAAACATCATTTTGCAGCATGTTTTTAAATACATATGAATAGTACTAGAACGTATGTTGAACATATTACCAAAAGGCCCTACAAAACAGATTGGTGCACAATTTTTTGTATATTTGATGGTGAAGACTACAGTAAAATAAAAGTAAAGTTGGTGTCTTGGAAATCCCGTCGTGGACACAGCATACAATGGATCAGTAAGAATTTGATCGTGTAGGCAACAATGCTGTAACAACCAAATAAAACGGTGAGTGTGTTCGATCGATTTTCAATGTAATTAGTATATATTTGGTGGCCCGTTTCTAATCGCAGCGGCAAACCTTACAAGTTAGTTCACAAGTTTATGAGACTAAACGTAAAAGCCGACCGTTGCGAGGCACAGTCGGTGCTGCAGAAACGTGTCGCATTTTAGAAACATGTCCAAACTCCATTTGTGCAGACACCGAATCTCCGGGTATTTAGTGATGCGGGGGCACGTACTTCAAAAAGTAGTTATGTCTAAATTGCAACCAGTTAAACGACAAGAGAATCGAAGGTATTTCCCCCAGGTTGTAGACATAAACCTACACTGCGAAAGTTCAAAAACCAAAGTTATATTTATGAGT